CAAACAACCGAAATATCTTTGGCAGGCACCCTTCATGGGACCAACAATGCATGGACACGTGCCGATCCTGCACCAGATTGCCATTTATTGGGCTCACACGAAATCCATGAAACCCAAGGGGATTACGAAGCAACAGGAACAGCAGGCCAAGATGGCCATGAAAGCTGACTCCTCTCAATGGTCAGCCTACTTGCAAGCCTCTGCGGATGTAATGCAATCCAGCCTGGACCAAGTTTTGACCTCAGCTGCCACTGCTAGTAATGACTTGACAGTATGGCATCAGGATGTGAACCATTGTTTTCATGCTTTTTTTCCACCCATGAGTGCCATCACCACCAAACAGCCTTGGAAACAAACCAACGATCTCATTCTCAACAAATTCGATCTTGTACTGGATCAGGTGTGTTTCGTGCGTGGTACCACTCGACCCGCTATGCACGCCTAAAACGTGAGCACAGACGTTATGCTGCCCAGGTCAGACATGCCAATTTTTGTGATGTGGTTCAAGCTGCAGAGGAAGCTGCACAGAAACATGACATGCACAAGATGTTTAGTCTGATCAACCGCCATGCACCCAAAACTGCACGGCGCAGGATCCAATTCAGGAATGCCGATGGCCACATTGCCAGTCCCTGTGAAGAGCTCAGGATCATTCAAGACTTTGTGCAAGACATCTGGGGTGGCCCTGCTCATATCCCCGTCAAGTTTTCACAGGCTCCTGGCGTGCCCTTCACGCCTTCTGACCTTGAACGAGCCTTGAGCCGGATTCCATTGAATCGCGCTGTAGCGCATCCATTTGCTCCTGGTATTGCCTGGCGCTTCCAGAGCACTGTGATTGCCCCCATTCTATATGATATTTTAACTATCTGGTGGAGCATCACACCGCCATACATACCATCGCAATGGAGGGATGCATGGATGATTTTGCTGGGCAAACCCCAAAAGCCCCCAACATCACCTTATAATATGCGCCCGATAGCACTCCAAGATCCTGTAGGTAAGGCCCTGATAGGACTGCTCATCCAATGTGCCAGTGAAGATGCCAGCCATCACATGCAGCCGTGGCCCTTGTGGGCGTATATGCCCAAGCGGTCGACGCTGGATGCAGTTTGCAGAGTTGCACGCCATTGTGTTGCCGTACAACAGCTTGTTGCTTCCCAAAGACCGACCCCACATGCCAGGGCTGCAGGTGCTGTTACCTACCGTTTTTGTGGGGGTGTCTCAATCATGTTGGACCTGGAACGGGCATTTGATGGTGTTTCCAGATTTAAGCTTTTCAGTCAACTTCATACCTTAGACATACGGTCCTCGGTAATCCAATTGTTGACGGAATGGCACTGCAACACCCACTACCATTTCCAACATGGACATGACACTCATGCACTCCCTACGGGGGCAGGCCTGAGACAGGGATGCAAGGCCGCACCAGGCCTATGGAATTTCTTGATTCTACTTTACCTCAAAAAAGTCGCCACTGTAATTCCCATGGCATGGCTCCGGAGCCACCTGAACATTTATGCGGACGACTATCAGGTAGGTGGAACTTTTTATTCCACAAATGATTTACAACTGCTGCTCCAAGCCTTTGGCATTTTGCTTGACACCCTGCGTGAATTTTCACTCCGCCTCAACGCCAAAAAATCAGTGGCACTTTTGGCTATTGGTGGAACCTCACACCGACATGCCCGTGCCCAATTTGTTGAGAAGAAAAATAACCAAGATCAGCTGCGCATTCCTCTTCCGTCAGGGGACACTGCATTGATTCCGATTCAAGCGCAATCCAAATATCTAGGCACTGTCATGACATATAAAGATTGTGCCCATGCCACACTGAAGCATCGATTGAGCCTTGCACGTATTGCACACCGCAGACTTGGACGGTGGTTCAGGGGAAGACATGGACTTAACATCCATCACAGATTTCAACTTTGGCGCACAACTGTTTTGCCGGTGCTCACATATGGATTGTTTGCAACAGGAATCTCTGACAGTGACACCAAGACATTGCAACGGGCCATGCTACCCATGCTCAGACAGGTCACATGTGATCATGCATATCGCACTGGCCGCACCAATGCACAGGTTTTCTCTAAATATCAGATTCCCACACCGCTGCAGCAATTGCGAGCTGCTTCCGAGCAACTTTTGCAGTCTGTCACTCAACGCCG